GTGTGTGTGTGTGTGTGTGTGTGTGTGTGTGTGTGTGTGTGTGTGTGAGACAGTGTTTGTCTTTCTAGGTCTGGGTTACCTCACTCAATATGATCTTTTCTAGATTCAACCAGTTGCCTGCAAATTTCATGATTTAACTTTTCTTTAGAGCTCAATATTATTCACTATCCGTTCATCTGTTGAAGGTCATTCAGGTTGTGTCCATTTACTAGCTGTTGTGAATAGCGTAGCAGTGAACATTGTTGAGCAGGTATCTGTGAAGCAGGATGTTGAGTCCTTTGGGTCCAGGAGTGGTATAGGTAGGTCATATGGTAGATTTACTTTCAATATTGTGAGAATTCTCCATACTGATTTCCAAAGTGATGGCACCAATTTGAATTTCCACCAATAGCGAATGATGGTTCCTGTTTTTCCACGCCTCATCAGCATTGGTTGTCACTTGTTTTGTTGATCCAAGCCACTCTGACTTGGGGGTGGGGAATGAAGTCACAAAGTTGTTTTAATGTGAATTCCCCTGGCTGCTAAGGATGATGAACATACATTGAGGTATTCTTTAGCCATTTTTTTATTTCTTCTATGGAGGACTCTGTTTAGTTTTCTTAATAATTGGGTCACTTGTTTCCTTGACTCTGTTTTCTGGGTTCTTTGTAAGCTCTAGATATTAGTCCTCTATCGGAGTTGTAGCTGGCACATTCTCTCCCACTCTGTGTCTCTTCTTCATATGACTAGTTGCTTCCCTTAGCCGTAAGGAAGCTTTTTAGTTTTGTGAGGTCCCAGTTGTCATCTGCTGGCCTTAATCCCCGGGCAAATGGACATACTTACTCTGTGCATCACTCTGGATACTCAAAGCACTTTTGATGGCCTGTTAGGTTTAGCTTTTAGTATTACAAGTAAGTACACTCAGAACTACCAAGCGACTGTTACAGTTCACCGTTGCTAGAATTAGAACGCCTTGTGACATCTTACTGTCTTCTACTGCTATTTAGCTTTTTAATCTTTACTGTCTTTCAGAGACAGGAATTCCGTCTTTTTGTGCTTCTAGTGCTGGGCAACATCGTGGTCATTAGGCAGTGTATCTTTGACTATGAGAAACAAAACTGATCTTTACAATATTTGGGACAACTAATTTCTTCAGAGGGTCTTCTTCGCTCTGCCTGATCCCTGAAAAAGAGGCTATCAACGATGGCAAATACTCCAGAGCAGCGGCCCTCAACCTTCCTAGCGCTGTAGCACTTCAATAGAGTTCCTCATGTGGTAACCCCCAACCATAGAATAATTTTCATTGCTACCTCATAGCTGTAATTTTGTTACTGCTATGAATTATAATTTAAATATCTGATACGTGACCTCCAAAGGGGCTGTGACCCACAGGTTCAGACCCACTGCCCTGAAATCTGAATAAAACTTTCAGAGCATTCAAAAATGCCATCCTTCTCCATTATGTTAGAGTTCAAGTCTCTGGGCAATGACTTGTGCTCTATGATGAAGAGAAATGTTTCCTTTGATTGAGATTTCCAACTTGCAGACTGGCAGAGAGAGAGAGAGAAAACTGCTAATGTGTCATGGGATAAACAGCAGGTCTATTTGTGACTGTCAGGCTTTCTCCATCTGTTACCCTGACTGCCTTCCTTTAAAAACAAAACAAACAGACAGAGACAGACCTGCTGCAGTAAAGCAGCAGATCACCGTTTCTTTGGGGGATTATTAATTACTTCAAAGGAGCTGGTCCTGTCCACAGACAGACAGCTACTTCCCATGACAAAATGAGCGCGTTTCTAGGGGTTTCTTTAAATCTCAGGGTCACACTACAGATGTCCCTTTGCACAGAATCTTCTAAGCAGATATTTCCTTGTTCTGGCAAAAGCAGCAAGAGGAACAAACACAGGGCTCTGTAAACTCCTCACTGAAAGAGTGAGGTCTTAAAGCATTTTAAAAATGACATTCATTCCTGTGTGCAGCTAGAGTTAACTAGCTGGACACGTTACAGACAAAGGGATGCTCAACAGAGAACATTTAATGAGCCTGAACCCCCCTGGAGGAAACAGACCTCACTGCATTAAATACCAGAAAATGTAAAGCACTGGCCTTGCAAAGCTTCCTATCAGCTGTGCTGTGTCCCTCTCCCACTCAGATTCACACACTGAAATCCTAATTCCTGGGGTGGTGTGGGATTAAGGAGTAAAAATTTGGGGAGAGAAATAGATGATAAAGGCAGACTTTCTCTGGATGAGGTTGGTGTCCTTACAAAAGACACAGAGGGAGCTTCTTTACCCCTCTTCCCACGGGGGAAGAACTTACCCAAGACGGCAAGGTGCAAAACGGGTCCTTCTCAGACACTAAATCTGCTGCTACCTTGATCCCAGCCTCCAAAATTACGAGGCATAAAAATCCCCTTGTTTATAAATTATCTAGTCTCTGGTATTTTCTCATAGCCCAAGCTCACAATGCCATCAAAGGTATGCTTACTAACTTGAGGCACAGAAAGAGAGTCTAAACAAGAAAGTGTAAAAACTATATATTATAAATGTTATATTCGAAGGACTGTGAAGAAGCAGCAGCAGCAGCAAGAAGGATCTCTGGACCAAAGTAGCAAGCCATGCCTTGAGCCCCTACGCCCCCCTGTGCTGCTATGTGCAAAGGAAAGACCACCGAAGGGAATGCTGCCGTTTGATACTGGGCTCTGTGCAAACACGCACCTCCTGCTTTCCTAGTGTGCCTGGTTGACTCATCTTTCCACATAGCCCCCTGGTGAACGTTTGCGTCCTTTATACATCTCCATGTTGCCCTCTGCCAACTACCTAGGGCAACATCTAGCCAGAGGACAGTTTTTTAGATTTTATCGTCTTACATGACAGTTCCAATGTAGAAAGAAAATGCAATTCACATCTAATATTGGGGAGTAGATGGGGCCAACCATTGATAAGCTTACAGGTACCTGTTGTTTTGGATTCTGGGTGTTATACGGAAGTGTTTGATGAGTTGGGTCTACATCTGAGGCAGCTTGGGGAAACTGGGTGGGGTTTTGGATGGGCTTGGCACCTGAGCGCTTCTCCCAGCTGCAGTAACAGAACCATTTCCACATGGAGATGTGTATCTGTGGAATGGCGATGCACATGACAGGGGAGAGGTTGTGTGACCCCTGATGACTCAAAGTGGATTCAAATATTGCACCCATTGCTCCTCAGGAAGGTAGCTTGTCTGAGTTCCCCAAGCTCTAACTTTCTCATCTGTAAACATACCTGCTGGAAGTCTTTGTGCTTATACATGGGTGTGTTTATAAACATACACACAAGGGATACTACATTAGTTTGATTATTGACAGCAAAGGTGTTGAGTTTCTGTAAAA